ACTTTCATTCCCAAGCTTGATTTACCACTGACTGTAAAGTCCGGCAGTCAGAACTTCCAAAAGTGACTTTGCCTCATGCTAACATGCGTAACTTAAAAAAAAAACCCTTTGTCCCCATTTAATTGAAAATCACACTAAAGGTAAAGACGCTCTCAAACTGAGGCAGGAGCCAATCAGAAAACGAGAGCACATTTTTGTCTTGGCATTTGGCTTCCACAGGCAGGAAATCAATACCAGGCCTCTCAAAACGGTAACAGTGTCCTATCTGTAGCCACATTAGTATTAAATAATCTGATCAACTATATCAAACAAATATATTTAAAAGCATGCAAAGGCACTTGCCAAAAAGGCAAAGGATATTCACATTCCCTTCTTAGTCAACCTCAAAGGAAAGCTTTGACAGACTACTATTAGCTGCTCCTTCAAAGCTCACACACAAAAGGCCTTTTATTTATTTTAGACAAGGAAATTCTAAATTGTCACAAGGCAAAAATAAACTTGTCCGTGACATGGGGTCAGAAATTAAACATGAGAAGCAGGAAATTGTTTAAAGTAATGGATCACACACTTCTAGATTTACAGAGATCTAGAAACATCATCTGTGAACTAGTTAAAAAGGCAGCCCTTTCATTTTGGAAATACTGGTCTGCTAATCAGGGATAAGGAACAGAGATTGAATAGCCCACCCTGTAGCAAGGCCAGACTGATCTACAAGCAGCACTTGGAAGGTCCGGAGAAGGGATCATAACAGGTAAGTGCTACAGTATAGCTAAAATCTAGGTTAAAGGTAGTCCTCGCTTAACAACAATAGGGCCAGAAAATTGGTTGTTAAGCAGGGCGGTTGTTAAGCGAGTCACCACATGACCAGGCCCGATTTTACAATCATTTTTACAACAGTTGTTAAGCTAATCATGTGGTCGTTAAGTAAATCCAGCTTCCTCAATGGGCATTTTTTGCCAGAATTTGCTTAACGATCACATGATTCGCTGAACGACTGCGGCAATTTGCTTAACAGCCATCGTAAAAGAGGTCACAAATCGTGATCACGTGACTGTGGGGGTGGTGTGCAACCATTTGCGATGGTTGTAAGTGCAAGTACAGGTCATAAAGCACTTTTTCTGAAGCCGCTGTAACTTTGAACTGTCATTAAATGAACGATCATGAAGTGAGGACTACCTGTGGTGAAATCTGGAAGAATCCAGAAGGATGGGCATAGAATTAACCATGAAAGAAATGTGCAATGTTCGGTCCTCCCTCTGTATTTTCTTTTTACCATTCCAGTTAATACTAATAAAATGATAAAAACCTTTCAGATGCTACTACAGCCATTATATCATATATCATATCATATATCATATGACAATCATCTATTCTTCCTTTTTTAATATATTTGGTCAACTCAAGGTGGCAAATGTATCTAATACTCCTTCCTCCTCCTATTTTCCCCACAACAACCCTGTGAGGTGGGTTGGGCCGAGAGAGGGTGACTAGCCCAAAGTCACCCAGCTGGCTTTCATGCCTGTAAGGGAGACCTAGAACTCACAGTCTCTTCGGTTCTAGGCCAGCACCTTCACCAATGCACCAAACTGGCTCTCATATTACAACTTTATATGTGATCATTTCAAGATTAGCAGAACATCAAGCACTGGTACTTGAGTTTTTATTTTACTTTTGTATCATCTGCTTTAGATTATAAATTAAAGAAGAGGATACTATTTTTTATTTATCAATAAGCTTCTCTGGGAGCCTTTATAGGTGAAAAACAGAGTATATATGCTTGAATAAATGATCAGGAATGTGGATGGAGACACAGTTTCTATTTAACATAAACCAGCTTAATTGGACTAATACCCAAATTAGGATGTAATACTTTTTCAGTTTCTCTAATGTGCGCAAAAATTCATACACTGTGGACAAATGCTTGCAAAGCAAGCATAAAATAGTAATGAATACTTTGCAAAAATGTGTTTATTAGGGAAAATGCATTTCATGGGTTGTTTTTTAAATCATAAACTGATGCAAAAGTAGGACAGGAAAAAAAAAACTTGTCCTGGGAAAACAAATGAAAACTTTATTGAAAATGGAATAAATGTCTTCATATATAATCTCACCTTTTACATGTGGGGAATCATTAATTTTTAGTCCCTGCCCTCAGTGAAATGTGTTTCCTAGCTATATCGATCCATTTCACATAACAGCTACTGAGATAATGTATGTAGTTCACATACCAAGTGCAAAATATCAAATAATACAGGATTGCCAGCGAAGACACATACAAAATGAATCACTAGGAGGTGCTTTGCCATTTACCCCAAAAGGGAAGCTCCAGACCAGTGTTTTTCAAACTTGGGAATTGGGGAATTCTGGGAGTTGAAGTCCACACATCTTAAAGTTGCCAAGTTTGAAAAACACTGGTCTAGAGCAGTTCATTTTAATTTACCAGATGCATACCTTGAATAAGGTAAAGCGAGCTCAGGATGAATGTTCTATAATAATAACCCAGATATATGATGGTATAGCATTCTATGTATTTCGTTTGGAGGAGGGGAGAGGATTTAAGAATGCTATTTTAGTTGTATATTTCTCAAGTATGATGTGTAGGAAATTTTAAAAGTTCTTATCTACTCCAGAAATATAATTGGAAGAGAACAGATTTCAGTAATTTCACACCAGTAAGAGTAATATATA